AACTATTTCACATCCATCAAAAAACTCCGATTTGTAACTAATAATTATGATTTTTTTTTCTTCCAAAAACAAAACAACCCAGCCCCCTGTCCCCTGTCCCCCGTCCCCCTAAAAAAATCAACACCCAAACACTGCAGCGGGAAGGAGGGGGGTTGTAAACCCTTAGATCTCCAGGTTATGTATGAGACAAGCTATCACGAAACGAATTTGGTTATAGGTAATAACTTCCCCAAGGTTATCTTGAATAGTGCGTAGTTCCTTTGTTAGAGCCGACGTAAATGTTTTTCACAAGATCGCTGATTGATGTATCACTGTAATAATCCTTGTGTAATTTTATATTAGTTTAACTTCCTCGAGTTTGGCGCATAGAAATCCTCTAAATTGTAGATATGTTATATTTCTGACAGTATCAAAGCGATAGGCGAAATAAAAAGTTGTTTGAATGAGTCTTACGCTATCTTAATTCAACTTTGAAATTCAAATTTCGCGCTTTTCGCTACATTGACCAATCAGAGTATTCAGATTTAATTTGATTAGAGAAATTAGCACCTAAAAAATAACTGCCGCTATTGCACTGGCCTATCCTTCTTTTGCCTAGTTCTTACGTGGACCATTACTTAACAACAATGCTGTCTCTCCTTTCAATAATTAGTTATCTGATGAATATGATTTCCAAGAGATGTGTTCCTTTGTCATCGTAAACTTTTGAATAGAAGTTGAAGTGCCTTCTTCTGTACCAAAGGTTACTAAGAACTGCTAAATTACTAAATAGCCACTTAAAATACGAATTGGTGAACATTGCTTAATAACATGACGCAAATATTGCATGTTTATAACTGAAACAACCATTTAATACCAGGTCTTATGGGCAGATGGCCGCACCTCATGGGTTAGATTGGAAAATCTCCCTTCCAAAGTACAAGAAGGCATTAAAAACAACTCCAGCTACCAATGGCAACCAGTTTCAATTGAGGAACTTGGACAAAAACGCACCGAATTACAACAATCTCCACAGCCCATCCAAGAGAACACAGTCCCATCCCTCAAGAGGTAACCCAGTAATTTTTCTTCTTTACAGAAGTTCGCCCCAATTTATTTACTTATGACAATTCTCTTCTAATCATATTTCAATATCTGCACTCTAAACTATAATTGTTATTCTGACACCATTGCCTTCCTTTCAACACAATAGATCAAAACAATTTTCACTTATGGGCCTATATGAAAATGAAGACTCCCTAAAGAGAAAAGCTTAAATGCAAATTCAACTTATTAGAACAGCATCTGTGTGTCATAATCTATATCACTCTCATTTGTTACACATTTGTATCATTCTGCTATTCAATAACAATTTCTTCATACATGAAGCTCTATCAGATAAAAAAAACATTAATTAACATTAAGCATATGATTCTGTTCACTATTTGTAGTATGGGATTTGCAATTGAAAATGAGACAGACATCCATAGTGTAAACCCATCCATAATGTGGAACAGAGAAAGGACAACACAAAGCAAAGAACCATAGAACAGCAGGTATACTTAAAGTCAATCATTATGTATACCTACCAAGCGATAACTATGCATGAGATTTTATGTCTAAGTTTTAAAAACCAATTCAGTGGAACACTAATAGCTACAGTAAACTAGAACATAGTCATTATTAAAAGAATCAGAGGGACTTTTAAAGAAGAAGAACCCAGACCATAATCTTGCTATGCAAGACTATGCCACCATGGCCTTATCCCATTTCTATTATAATGAAGAAGCCTGAAAAGCCAGAAAATAACCTTAGATCATACAAAACTATATGCCAGATGTATTTAAGACTAAAAATTAACATAACAACTTTTCAACAGGAATTCTTGTAATTGCCAAGCTATGTGCAATAGTTGTTAGTGTGAAAGAATTATTTGGAGCAGAAAGCAAAAGCCAGGTATATGCCCACCTCCATGATGTCCTTCAGAAACCAGAAATGCAAACAACAGGTATGTCTTATTATACTGTACTACACATTATAAAGACATATCTAACCACACTTCTATAATCCCATTCAGTATAATACCTGCATGCATAACCACAACTTACAAAGGTTTCCAAATGTCAGAAGGAGGGGAGAAAATCTGGAAAAGTAGACAACCGTTATATATAGATTCAGCCATGGCTAAAAGCGAAGCTCCCATTGAAAAGTTAAGTGATTTTGGAGTGAAACAAATGTTATATCGAGTTGATATAGCCTTATGTGTACACCGAAAAAGGTGTACGGTCAAATTTAAGAGCAATAATGGCTCTTGATCACAGTAGATAATGCGTGGAAAACAAATCAGGCCGATCGACAATTTTACAAATTCTTGCCAATAAATCTGGATGCATGCAAACCAATCTTTTATTTTTTTTAATACACCATATCTGAGGAGAAAGAGTACTATGAGGCGCTGTTTTTATCATACAGACCTCGTACATAATGCAGTATTTCACAATTTTTCAAGACAAATTGCATTCATTCAATATTCAGGACCATCGAAGCACGCGAGGACTTTTAATTACTGAAATCGTTCAAAAAATTTCCAAAATCACCCATACGGCCAGCCGGTTCTAACTTTTAACAAGCGCCAAATTTGTGAAGAAATTTTAAAAGAGTTACGCTTCAACGTGATAAAGAATTTATTAAGTCTATTTTTTATACATGGTTTTATAACGATGTGTAATCTTAAAAAGCGTTTGCTACGCTCGGCATTTTGAGTACTCCTGCAAGCGATGGTTATGAACGGCTGAAAACAAACGGCAAAGCGATGAAAATTACACCTTTGAGACTACCAACAATCAATAAAGAACTATAATTCGGTAGAACATTTACAGAGACAACAATTTTCATGCACGAAAACAAATGAGTATTTAAGTGTCTCTAAGAATCCTCAAGTCTTCAGTAGTAAGCTTAAAGATTAAGTTTATGTTTTTAGCCGCCGGTTTCCCGGGCCTGTTTGCTGTTTCCAAAGATGAACTCAGGACAAGAAAATCGCTCAAAGCTTTCTTCCTAAAGCCAAAATTATAACTAAATATTCTTCGGAAAGTCTTTTCTTTCTATTTATGGTGAATTAATATCTAAAGGCAGAGATGCCAACCTCTGGAGATTTAAAATCTGGAGACTCTCTGTTTTCCATTAGCCCACTACCCCCGGAAATCTAGGACATTATATCAAGTCTTACATGAAGTAGATACCATCAAAATTCGCGATCATCGTTTTGATGCCAGAAATAATCTTTGTCAGTGACTAAATAGGTGTAAAATGCCTCAGAAACAGTATTACCAACACGAAAAATTCAAGTTTTGAACTAAAAATGGGCTAAATTTCAAACTAAGGCACAGAAAAGCTCAAAAGATGATTTTATCCAGGAGATAAAGCGATCCGTACGGGAGACCGGGAGATTGGTGTCGTATCTGGGAGACTCCCGGATAATCCGGGAGGGTTGGCATGTATGTAATGGCTTTTTAAAGTTCTGTAAGCTTAAGCTTATATCAAACCTCATACTAGGCCAGATCACTGTCTCAGTCAAATCTTAATAAAAACGTGCATAAACTAGCTTCATAAACTGTGCCGCTGGACTTCATGAAATTAGATATAAATACAACAATTACTCAGGCTTACCATATTTCGAGATGCAGCTCCTGAAAGCTGTCAAGAAAGGCAAGGATCGCTTGAGTCTTTATACTTCTCGCACGCATCCAGCAAGGTGAAAAACAAAATCGATGCCATCCGAAATCGGATTATCGGCTCAGACAAGCGACTCATTTCTCAATGAAAAACCCAATAAACAAACCAGCCTTGAATAAGAGAACACTCTTTATAGCAGCTGTATTTCATTTTGTACATCCAGTGGAAAAAGACAGTGAAAAACATTGCAAGCTGACTCAAAACTCTGTCAGCTTCAGGTGTCAAAGTAAACAACTTTCAAGATGCTGCATAAATTTTACGCATGAATTCACCTGTCAAATTTTAACCAATCAGAGCATAAAAATTGGATGGGAGCGTGACCAACACGTGACCATGGTAAGAAAAGGTCTTCCCCGCCTGTATTTTAAAAAAACTGGCTGAATTTTTGGGTCTGAGGTCAGTTTGAAATCAAAATCGTAATAGTGCTGGGCGATACTGACATGAACACAACATATTTGATATGAATTAAAAAAAAAGTAAACGTGAGCCTGCAATCATTTGAAAACGAATAAATTGTCAGCGGATAACTTCAAAAAATACTCGACCTTTATGGGTCGACACCTGAGCCCGTGATACGGTCTGGTGATACTGGTCAGCGGATACCCTGTTTTGACAGCTGTCAATTGATGACAACATTGATGTGCAATCAGCTTTCTCCTGGGCTCCCGAAGTAGCTAGAAAGTGTAAGAGTAAACACTGGTATGCCTGTGGTGCGGACGGACGGTCGGTCAGTCAGTTGGTCGGATGGTCATGTGATTACCAAATTTTCTGGGATGGGTAGATTACCTTAGCTATGGGGCTCCGCCCACGCGCGCGTGGAGCTCTGCTAAGAATTGAAGACTGCAAAGGCCCTGACTCTAGGGGGGTTAGTTAAGTCAACAGCATACAATCAAGTAGCCTAGATGAAACTCAGGCAGCTGCCAACTTTTTTTAAAACCATTGGGCTTCAAATCCAATACTTATATACCTTCACTTAACTCATAACATTCACCTTCATTTCAGAAACAATATGTTATGATGATGCATGCCATCTGAAAAAGTATGCAAACAACCCAGCTAGAAACAGTTTAACAGCCACTACAAGGACGATGGCTGGAATGGAAATGGTGGTGGATAAGTTCCATTTTCCAAATCATGTCGATCGGTGGTGTAAGACCAACTGCAATCCCTATAACAGTACAAAACTCAAGGTAGTTTCCCTTTTTTAGTTCAATTATAAAAACAGAAACTGCTTCCATCCATGTTCACTGCATGCATCGATCACTCTTTAACATAACAGCAAGATATGAATGCCCTGCAAAAAAACAGATAAAGATACAATCTGATCCACCCCCTTTCATAATATTTAATTAACTACATTTTTGTAATAAAATAAAAATATAATATGCCAATCAATTCCAGCCCAACCAAAACAATACCTAACGCGAAATGGTCAACCCAAGAGATGCCTGCTGGGCCAACTGAAATAGCCAGGTGCATAATTTAGAGGATAATTGATTTATATTACCATAAATAATTAATAATGCTTTACTAACATATAGACACTCTTCATCAAAAACCCTCAAACTTATTCATGTAAAAATGCCTACAACAGTTTGCCATATGGAATTTACAAGATTAAAATTATTTGGGCTACATACAAATCCATAAAGCTAAATGCTTCAATTGCTTATCAAATGAAAATTGCTTGACTCCATTTTTGTTCGATTTTTTCCGGGATGTCAACACTGAAGTATGTGAACAATTGTTCTCCTGGTTATCCAGGTTCTCAATTATTACGAAGCACATGAACAGATGGCGGTTTCTTTTCCTTATGTCGTACCTTTTGGACCAACACAATGAGGACATCGCTAATAATAAGCAGTGGTGACTGAAAAGGTCAACCATTTTGTTTTCTCAAAACACAATATCCCAATAAAGTACTTCTTGTAAATAATTACAAATATTGACCTACCCGAAACACAAGTGACAACATAAATTTTTTACAATTAACCTTTCCTATGATGTACCTGCTGCTAAAAATGCTACTTAACCCACAATCTAGTACATGTAGATGTTCCAGTTCAATTTTGTGTTGTGGATCAATTTTATCCTTCGTTTAATTCATATGTCCCAAATTTGTCTTGTGCTATAATGTTTGAAAACGAAGAAAATACAGTTCAAATCAAGAGTAACACTTCACCAATCAGATAAGTTATAACCCATGAAATGGTTTGAAATATTCGTTTCGTGTCGCCAATTCAGACACCGTAAAAAGTACTCAAGAAAAAATGCGTGCTGAAAAGGCCAAAAAGTAAAGAAAGTGAACACTGTAATGCAGTTAGTTACGATAGAATTTTAGCCTAGAGATAGTAAATTATGACAGTTTGGACACTGAGTATACATAACAGTCAATGCAAAATTATTATAATATTTGCCATTACAGTACCTCCAGTTTACAGTATCATAGTACTGAATCTCTCTCTTATAATTTATTTCCTAAGTTATAGGGACCCAATGATCGCCAATGTGAACCTCACGCACTTTACGGACCGAAGAGAGCTTTTCACAAACCGTATACCCCTTTCGTCGGCCCATACCGTCCTTACAGGTCGACAAACCCTATATAACCACTCTTGCCATGAAAATATTCTAAGTCTCATTAATGAAATGTGATTTACGGCCCGTGAAACACTTTTTACAGACCGTATAATTCTTTTGTCAATCCGTTTGATCCGTATGGATCGACAAACCATATATCAACACTCTTGCCATGAGAATATTCTAAGTCCCACTAATGAGATGCGATTTACAGACCGTAAAACACTCTTTACAGACTGTATACCCCTTTTGTTGATCCACTCCATCCGTACGGATCGACAAACCGTATATGACCACTCTTGCCATGAAAATATTCTAAGTCCCACTAATTAGATGCGATTTACGGACCGTAAAAAACTATTTACAGACCGTATACCCCTTTTATCGATCTGTTTGATCTGTACGGATCGATAAACCGTATATCACCACTCTTACCATGAAAATATTCTAAGTCCCACTAATTAGATACGATTTACGGACTGTAAAACACCCTTTACAGATCGTATACCCCTGTTGTCGATCCGTTCGATCGGTACGGATCGACAAACCGTATATAACCACTCTTCCCATGAAAATATTCTAAGTCCCCCTAATGACATGGGATTTACGGACCGTAAAACACTCTTTACAGACCGTATACCCCTGTTGTCGATCTGTTCGATCCGTACGGATCGACAAACCGTATATGACCACTCTTGCCATGAAAATATTCTAAGTCCCCCTAATCTGAGGCAATTTACGGACCGTAAAACACCCTTTACAGATCGTATACCCCTGTTGTCGATCCATTCGATCCGTACGGATCGACAAACCGTATATAACCACTCTTCCCATGAAAATATTCTAAGTCCCCCTAATGACATGGGATTTACGGACCGTAAAACACCCTTTACAGACCGTATACCCCTTTTATCGATCCGTTCGATCCGTACGGATCAACAAACCGTATATAACCACTCTTGCCATGAAAATATTCTAAGTCCCCCTAATGAGATGCGATTTACGGACCGTAAAACGCACTTTACCCAACGTATACCCCTGTTGTCGATCCATTCGATCCGTACGGATTGACACATGGCTTATGCGGACCGTTACGGTCCGGGTGTATTGGACAACCCTCAAAGGCAGCTTTGGAAATTATTTGCTAACTCACCACAGCGGACTGCTATACACAGATCAATTTGAAGGCTCTAGTCTTGTCTGATAAAAGCAAGAAAGTTGTTACAAAGAATTTTAAGACAGCATGTCACAAGGATGCATGAGTGAATGCACAACTCAGGACCCCTTTGTCGGAAAGAAATAGGTGATGCTTAACTTGATTATTCTGTGATTAAATATTAATTAGCAATTGACATTTGTAGCGCAAAGAAGTTAGATTTCGTGACATTAGATTTCACAATAGTGTAGACAAAGTCCGAGTATATTTATGATATAAAATGATGTATCTGCATGCATTTTCTTAGGCTAAATAAGGTGAAAGAACGTGCAATTTTGTAATAGACGCTTAATTTAGATACATTACAATGGGAACTTTTACCCTACATGTGATTGATGTAACAATACTGCCTTACGCAAGGATAGTAGAAAAACCACTGTATACTTAGAATGTTTTAGTTGATTGATTAGTTGATCGTTGTGTTACAACCGTTGAATACGTGAGAATTGTACATCGCAGTAGATTGTTGGATTGCATTTAATCGTGTTGTTACATCGAAAGATACAGTCCTCTTGATTTGTTTGAACCAGCGGAGCAGGGTTAAAAGAATTCCGCAACATCTGGTCCATCGATAGCCGGATTCAAGTAGAGAATGTCCAAGAAAAAAGTTAGAGCAGGCCATCGAGGATTTCTAACGGGAGTCCTTCCTGACGTTGACGAGTGCTTATACAGCTATGAAGCTGAGAAGAAAGTTGAACTTGTTAAGTGGCACACAGTCCTTAAAGAACGGCTTGACAACATCTTGCCCCTTGACGAGGAAATTTATGCTGAACTCGTAGCCGATGAAAAATCCACCGAAGAAGACATCACAGCAGAGATAGACAGAGCTGCAAGATTGAAGGCTGACGTACTTCAAAGACTTGCAGCTATAGACGAAAAGCTAACTGTGCTGCAGCCTGGATTGAGCGAGAGTCAAAACATGAGTGGGTCTCCTTCTAGTCCTTACCAGAATGTCGTCGAGAACGGAGCGACCTCGAGCTCAGCGAACTCCAAGACCGTCCGGATTAAACTCCCAAAACTGGAGGTACGAAAGTTTAGCGGAAAGCTGGAAGAGTGGTAAGAGTTCTGGGATTCCTTTGAAAGTGCGATACATTCAAACGACAGCCTTTCAAACGTGGATAAGTTCTCATATCTCAGAGGCTTACTGCTAGAGCCAGCGAGATCGGCGATTACGGGATTTGCCTTAACGTCCGCGAATTACGAGGCAGCGGTTGAATTGTCGAAAAAACGTTCTGGAAAAAAGACCGCAATCCAAAGAACTTTGGTGAATGAACTGTTGAACACAAGACCTGTGTTCAATGAAAGCGACACAGCAAGATTGCGCGGCCTTTATGATTTCATGGAGACAAAATACAACCTTCAAGCGTTAAACATCGACGAGCGTGCTTACTCCGAGATAGTCGTCCCCATGCTACTGGAAAGGATTCCAGATTCCATACGCTTAACAATTACCCGAGAAAAGCAGTACCTGGAGTGGACCCTCAAAGACTTGCTGGATTCTCTGTTGACGGATGTTGAATTGCGGGAAGATCATAATTTAGCTGCGCAATGAGGTGGATCGAATGACCGCAGAAAGGGACTCCAGACAGCGAGTGCGTTATTCACTAACAAAGGAGGGGACAAGACAGCTGAAAAGAGATGTGCATTTTGCCCTGGAGGTCACCCCCCAGAAGATTGCAAAAAGGTGCAAGACGTAAAGGAACGTAAGAAACTTTTACTTAAATTCGGTAAATGTTTTAATTGTATTGAAAAGGGCCATCGCAGCCGAAACTGTAGCGTAGCAATAGAATGTAAATTATGTAAGGGACAACATAGTTCTTGTTTGTGCGTGGCCAAACTGCAACAGGCTTCGGGGGGGGGGGGGG